CACGGGGGCGGCGAGGGGCGGGGCGGCGGCGGCAGCGCCGCGACGAGGCCCGCGCCCCTACGCCCCACCCCCACTCCACAGCCGATCCTCCCGCGCCCGCCTTCGCCCGACCCGCTCAAGGCCGCCGCCGCCACCGCCGCGCAGCTCAACGGCACCAGTGAGTTGGCCGCCCTGCCGCCGGCGACTCGAGCGCCCACGCGGCTTCCTTCCTTCACGGTGCATGCCGGAACAACAGAACTTACATTTCTTCGACACGAAATCAATCATATACAATAGTTAAAAAAACTTTATTATTCAATAATACTCTTGCAATGCATCAAAATGTATAAGAAGTTCCATTGCCATCGATAAACGTGAAACAATTAAATTTTGAAGAATTGCTACAGCAATACTTAGAGCTTATTTAGTTCACTTGATAAGTGTGCCATATTAATTGTGTAAATAAAGGTAGGGCATTATTGATCGGGGGTAGTTGAAATGAAATAATAGTTATTGTCATTCTATTTTTTTTTCTTTTATAATACCGTCCTGTTAGCAAGTTACGGGTGAGTTGCTGGACGATTATAATACATAATTCAATTAAGTCATTCTCATGCATTGTAAATACACGTGTTGAAACCATTAAATTTTGAAAAATTCTTTGTTTTAGATTTGTATGACAATCCCTTAAGTAACTTTAACAAACAAAGTTTTATTGGCAATCAATCACAAATCATTTCGCGATCGATTAGTGGATACAAATCAGCATTATTGAAATCCTTCGTACGAAAGAGCCATTACTAATCTTCAGATATAACTACAAATATATTTAAAATTGAAGATAAACTAATATAGTTGACAGTTTTTCCACGACAGATCCGTTCTCCAGCAGCTAACGCGCAGTCCCCTCTTGTGTGACAGTGGCCAACATGGTGACGCTGCAGAACCTGCAGTCGCTGGCGTCGCTGCAGCAGAGCCTGCCGCAGGTGGCGTCGCTGGCGGCGGGGCTGCAGGGCATCGCCGGGCTGGGCGCGCCGTTGCTCAACGCGCCGCTCAACCTCAGCGTCAGCGCCGCAGGTACCCGCCCCCGCGCGAGGCCCCTCTCCTCCGCACTTGTGTATTTTTTTATCCGCTCATTACACATTCACTATTGAAATAAATTGGCCCTTCGTCCCGGTGGCCGCCCAGTTGAGGCTAATGTAATTTGAGAAGTACACTAATGGTGATAAAGTTGAGGATACCCATCTTAACACCCGTTTTATGTACAAAATCCACAAAGCTTTCTTGCGCACTTAAACAACATGTATACAAAATGCTTCACTCCCTTCATGTTTTCGCACCCTTTCCTTTTCACATCTCTGTTAGTTTCTTCATATTGGTTAAACCTATTCCCAACCAGACGTGAAGATGCAATCCACATCTGGATAAAATTCAGAACGTACATGAGAATAATTTATTGTTTCTTGAAACGAATACACCTATCCTTATCACTGTCGAAAGCAATTGTTAAAGCGTCCGGGCACAGGAAGATATCAATAATAATATTCACTGATTTTATGCATTTTAAAGTGTTAGGGCTCAAAATCGTTGGGAAGTTGAGGCCGTATAATGCAGGTTTCGTTTCAAAACTTCGGACTGGCCGCTGCTCTCCGATACGGATGACCGCTAATAAGAGAGAATGTTAACGAAAAATTGAAACGAATTATACGAAATGTCGACGAAATTGTACGAAAAATTGAAACGATTGTTGTACGAAAAATCAATTGTTTTTTATGAAAAACTGGACGTTAATAAAGGCTTAGACTTAGCCTTTTGGCAGGTTTTATTGTCTGTATTTGGCGCGGCAGCCCGCGAACAGGCCAGGACCTACCAGCAGCGTCCCATCCTCGCAGATATGCGTTTAAGGGGTACGTGTGGTTAGCACGAAGACATCCCTATGCCGTATTCTGGCTTTTTCAACCTGAGAAGTGAGTTTTCTCATCGTCACATAGAGACACTGGGACACTGCAAAGAAACCTCTCACTATAATTTTGCCCGACCGGGAATCGAACTTGGGGTCACGTCGTGGAAAGCATGCACGCCGTCCAATAAGCTGAACCTCAGGTTTCGTTGTATCTTATTATAACTGATTTGAGATAGTATTTTTGGATATCCTCTTTCTGGATATCCTAAAAGACATGCGTTTCGGAAGACTTAAAATTAATCTTAGATTGTAAAGCTTAATAAATAATCTAATCACTACATTGATTTAAGAGACTCATTCAGCACATAGCCAGCACTTGAGCCAGACAAATCGTGGATTTCTATTTCTAATTCTGGTCGTCTCATTCCCTCCTGCCTCCGCGGCACTTGTCTCGCCTGTCGGATTTACGCCATCTAATCGGACGCGAACGGCCGCGCGACCCAATGCGACACCCTTGTTAATGCAGTTTGGATGCGCCTTGGACGGGCAATCAGATTGCTCATCTGCATCGAGCTTAGCCAGGGCGGTCAACCAGCCTCCGTGCGCGCGCCGTTTGCATGGGGACTACTCTCGGCGCACGTAACTACGCACATTGCGCAAAAAGTTGTTTGTCTTAAAATCAGAAATGATTTGACAATACATTCACTTAATTAATTGGGACATTGCAGTTTAAAAATGTGAGTTATATACGCATTCAATGTGTATTAAAATAATAATCACTTTCGGTGAATCTTGAAAGCGGAATTCAATTTTGAATTCAAACCGTGAGATAATTTTTATAAAACAAATGCCCGTATCTCTGTTGCGATATTAATAAAATTCATTATTTGAAAGCTGTAGAGTTGAATGCAGTAAAACATTTTCCTCATTTTTGCCTTTTCAGCATTTGTTACCAGTAACATTTATTCGTGTAAGTTATATTTCAGTGAAATAATTTTCGTGATATTACACTTTTTAATTGTTATTCTTGCTAAATAAATTGTATTGTCAATTTAACGTATGTGAGAATGTTTACTTTTTCAGAACAAATGTGTTCGCAGAAACCATTTTTAATATTCATTATGATTGTTTAAACCTTTTTTTCTGTCTACAACTCAAATCACCTAACAAAGAAATATTTGACGAAAACTAAATATTTGTGCTGTATATTTAATTTCACGTATATGTACAAGCATGGGAGGACGTCGTTAGTTCTGTTCTCCTCTATATGAGAAGTTTACCGTTCTGATCACGCAATTCTTCGTCACATTTCAATTTATTGCCTTGATTAAAGTTTGAGGCAGGAATTTTAAAAGTTTGTTCACAAGGACTGAGGAAGGGAAATATAATTTCTTTATTGTCTTGCTAGTGGCTGAGACGCATAACCTTACCTGGTATGGATGAATGATTTGATGGAAAGGTAATTCCCTCATCTTTCCATCTATCTTCGACGGTGTTTTAACTCAATTTTGTTTTATTTACACATGTAATTTCAAACATACATTATCAGATAGGCCTGTCAGTCGCACCAGCAGTTCCTGTTTGTAAAATTGTGAAAAATGTATTTTTAGGATCTCCAGCAAATGAGGATCAGTGACAGAGAGATTGTAAAGGTTACTAACAAGTTCAAGTATTTCGATCTTAGTAACTACATGAGCATAACTACTGGAGGATAATTTCAGAGACCGACAGTTCTACACGGTAGTTTTCCGTCGTTTTTCCGACCAATACCAGGCGAATGCCGGAGCAGCACCCTAACAACCTGTACCACATACTTTCCTTCCCTTTCCTTGTCCTATCCTCATCCCTTACACACATTGCCTTTTATTTACATGCATTATACTACCACACCTGTCCGTAGACCAATTGGGACACTGAAATAGCTTGTTCTGGCTTCGGAAATCCCTCGCTGGAGGGTAGTTACTCGGAAACTTTCCTATATTCTGGAACGGATCACACATTCTAGAGGTACTGTGTCACTTCCATAGATAGATCATGTATTACACTTACGAGACTAACGACTAGTGTAGTTGACGCGTGCGGTATCAATTCTCATTCGATCTGCGTAAATAATACTACAGTGAGTGGTACACTTACCGGATATCTGTTGGGTGCGATTTGAAGTGCGGTAACCTCAATGTGCACGCCAGCGTGTTTGGTCATTAGTGTCTTTCAGACCTGACAAGCTGCTGCTTCTTCTTCTTCTTCTTCTTCTTTTTCTTCTTCTTCTTCTTCTTCTTCTTCTTCTTCTCCTTCTTCTTCTGCCTCAGGCATTAGACCTGTTGGTCTATTGCGACTCGTTGATCACTCCATCTTTCAATCTTCCATCTTTCTTCAAACATGTGGTCTTTCCATTTCTTTCTATATTCTTCGAATTTGTCGTTTAAACTCGAAGGTTCTCCCGGATGGTCTCGTTTTTAAATCTGTCTCTTCTTATTACTCCTAGAATTGACTTCAAAAATTTCATATCAGCATACGGTACTCTCGATTTGGAATTTATAACCCAGTTTTCACTTCCATACAGGCGATAAGCCATTGCCGTAACTTTGTAAACTTTTAGTAGTGTATCTTTTCGTACTTGATCTCTAAGTGCTATTTTAATGGTGCAACACATATGGTTATATCTCTCGATATTACTTTCAATATGAAGTTCTTCGAGGTATGATAATTCACATCCTAGGAATCTAAAAGTATTTACATGTTCAATTGTCTCATTTTCTAAACCGACCTTGCATCTTAAGGGGTGAGAACCTTGGAAAGTAATGGACTTGATTTTGATGGAATATATATATATATATATAATATATATATTCATTTGTAGAGCTTAACAGTTTTTACAATCGTCAGGGCTCTTTTCCATATCAGCCATCGAACGTGGCAAACGAGAGGGCTTTATGCAACGTGTTCCAAAGCGTCGCGTGCGCAGGCGGCACCGTGCACGTCGGCGGGGGGCGTGCGGCGGCGGCGAGCGCGGCGCCCGCGCACCGTCGTGAGCAACCTGGCTGTCTGTCCGGCGGCGGCGGGGCGGTGCGGCGCCGGGCGGGCAGCGGCGCCGGCGGCGCCGCCCCCGCCCGCCGCCATGCCGCAGTTCATCCTGGCCAGCGGGCAGCTCGTGCAGGGCATCCAGGGCGCGCAGCTGCTCATCCCCACGTCGCAAGGTAGGCGGCGCCACTCACAAGAAAAGGACCGAGCGGAAGAACAGATCATTTCCTAGTATTAAAGAAACAAAATTCCGAGTTTGCCGATCCGGTGGCCGAGATCGCTAAGGCAGTAGTGCCGTAGCGAAGTCGGACCGAAGGATTGCGGGTTCGAGTCCCGCCTCGGGCATGGTTGTATTGTGTTTCGTCCTTTCACCCCCTATCATCATCATTATCGTGTCAACCCACAGTTACCATACCGTTACAAGCAATAGTGGTCGCTAATGACCTAGAAGTTGATGCGACCTTAAATAACAAAAAAAAAATCGAGTTTGTTTACATGTTACCAGATCAATAAGGCTATTCTAATAGTACATTAGTTTCACTTATCAAGTACAGCCCCTTCCCCCTCCATCTACTTAAGCCGCAAGGCAGTTACTCAATAAAGTTTAAATAAATTAGAAGCACGGGGCCGCCCGCTAAGTGTGCGAGTTCGCGTCGGTTGGAGGGTTACACAGAATTGAAGAGCTTATTCCAAAGTGACGTGTTTGTTTGACACAATTTTTCAAGGATGGAATGCATTCACTCTCAGGCTTGTAGTTCAAAATATCATTCACGGTTTTCGGAGGTACCGTTTAACGTTCGTAGAAAACAATTTTTGAAACTAATATTTGGCAGCGTAATGGAGAAGCTTCTTGAGAATATATTGACCCTTAAAACTAGAAAATAAACAGAAACGGAGGTACGTCACTTTGGAAATAAATTTCAATTTATTGCTACCTCTGAGGTAATCAGTAATAATATCGCAAGCAAACCTTTGTAGAAATATGTGAACTATGATAAAACTACAATACCATAAATAAAGTGTTGCATAAGCTCTAAACGCACGTGTGCGTGTACATTAGACTCGAATTCTTTTCATCGCACTTCACTTCACTTTGCCTTACATAATGGTATTTTGCATTTGCATGTGCGATTCTTATTCTGTTTGCAATTCAACCGAATCAAATCAGGAAACCTACCATTCCTACTTTCCGTGAATGGGTGATTTTATCCCAGTGTGTATATCTAAAGAATTTGTTAATGGAATTCTTGTAGTTTTCTGCGCAGAAAATTTATCCAATAATTAAGATTTTACTAACAAATCACAAGCGCTTTGAAAACATTGTTAATTAATAAAAAATATTAAGTCAGTTGATTGATTGTGAAATTGTTTCTCAAATTCATGTACACTACCTAATACTAAGATAGAAAGTGTGTTATATCCGCAAATTCACAAATAAAGAATATACATACAAAATGGCAAAAGTTAAGTAATTAATGTCGATGTCTAAATGCCAGAAAGTCTCATTGTCAGAGAGAAAGTTTCAGATGTATCTTCGGAATTAACTGAACTATTTTGTTAACAAAATACTATGAATATCATTATTTACAAATAGTTACGTTATGATGGCAGATATTCGAGTGTTGGGACAGTTTCCTTTTTAAGTTGCATATCAATTACAGGTATCGCCACGCAGACGATTTTGACCATCCCTGTGAACCACGTGACCAGCGGACAGATGGTGAACCTAGCTTTGAGCAACGGCCAGGTAGTAACTACTACCCTCGCCAATCTGCAGACACTGGCGCAACCGCACCCTCTGCTGACGCCGGCCAACGCAACGGGCACAGGTGCGCTCTTAGGAAAAACAAAGCGGTTATTTCAAATGACTTGCTTTTACCACTCTTTAAACCGCACAGACATATCGTATGCAACGCCTTCGATTGTACTTTCATAAACTGATGACTCATTTCTTGAGAAACATCTGCACTTTGATCGCTTTCAAATAAATTTGAAAGCCGTTTTACTCGAATTCAGTGTGTAATCCGTTTAAAAGTTTTAAGGGATTGACAGCAACTGTGTTTCGATGGAGAGATTACTCCGTTATTCAATAGGAAGTTTGCGTTTTTGCTTATGACATGACGGAGTCGTCAAAGCGCAACATATCATTGCCCTACGGGATGACTCAGTGATCGTTGAAAGACACCCAGAGAATCACACATATTTTTGGTGTGTTACCTGCCGATAGGTTGATGTATTATTTGCATTTTGTTCGATTCTTTAGTGGGTGTTTGATTTCTGTTGCATCTGTTCTCACTGTTAATCTACAGATGTGTGCTACTGTCATTATGAAGATTTCAAGTAACGTAATGCGATTAAGTATGCACTTTTTACATAGTATTCAACGAAATTCATTAAAATGTATGTCCTACAATAATTCTTAAGTTGTCTATTTAGTGAAGTGGATGTATACTTAACTTAGCATTGTGCATCCCGTTAGTCTCAACAGAGTCATCAGAAGCTTGTCGTGGCCGGGGCCTGGGCTGGGCGGCCACAATCCCAGCTATCAATCCCTTAGAAATGTTAATCAGCTTATAAATTACCAGTACATTGGATCATGAAAAAAAAGTCTTTCAAGGCATAATACTTTACTGAAATCGTATACTATTACCTCGTGTACTAGGAGTATACATGTTAACATTCTCTGGTTTTTGCTGGGTAATATATGGTCAGCATACTGCAGCTCATCACCATATCACTTGACATTCATGACTAATTTCACTACCATGAAATTGAAATAGCTGTCCAGTTGCTGTCACGATGTTGGGTCAATACCGAAAATCGAGGAAATTGCATCCGCAATTACACGTTCAGAAAACCTTGACCCTCCTGGGAACACAGAGAATACTAATTATCGGTACATTGAGATTTATTTATGATCCAGGTACCTTCTCTGGTAGACATTTTGTCGATGTTCATGTATTTATTTCGATCGGTCTATTGTGATTGTTATATTTTTTCAACGTTGTAATTAGTCGTAGGTAAAAGATAAAATCAAATAATGAATAAAACTTCGTGTCCACCTGCACCAGACATGGTGAATTGTTCAGAGAGGGAGAGAGTATTCCTCTCGAAATTGCTGGTTTTCCACTCACAATACATTAAAGGTTCTTTTCTCGGAGGATTTCACGCGATGGAGAAACCCTTTGAGATGGATTCTGGAGTCGATAAATTAGAACGTTATTTTTGGCTTCGCAGCTGCTAAAAGACATTGTAGAAATCAGAAGAACCATATTAAAATTGTAATCCTTTAAACAAATCGCCGATGAAATAAATAAAAAAATAATTAAAATATTCATTGGACATATTTTATCGCTGAAATATAAGAATCCCTTTCGAAAATATGGATTAACGAGGCTTTGCTTTTGCTGATAATGCATTGCAATGCGCATGTGGTCACATATTTCCGTTCTCTTCCAGTGCCCTCTCCTGGCCCAGGACTGGGCCTCAGTTCCCCGGCAGCCTCTCTACCTCATCTGCTGAGCAACGGCTCGGCAGCCCAGACGCACCAGCAGCTGCTGAACGCCATGCATCAGCAGCAACAACAGCACCAGCAGCAACAGCAACAACAGCACCAACAGCACCAGCAGCAGCAACACCAGCAACACCAACAGCAACAGCAGCAGCAGCAGCAACAACAGCAGCAACAGCAGCAGCAACAGCAACAGCAGCAGCAACAACAACAGCAGCAGCAGCAACAGCACCAGGCGGCAGCGGCGGCCGCGGCGGCGGCGGCTGCGGCGGCAGCGGCGGCGCACCCGCACCTGGTAGCGACCCCGCAAGCGGCGGCGGCGTCCTTGCAGGCGTCGCCCAGCGGGGCGGGCTCGCAGCCGCCCCCGCCGCCCCCGCGCGCCGCCCACCCGCCGCCGCACAACCACCACTACTCGGTGAGCACCCGCCTCGCCCTCGCGGCGAGCCTTGACCCCGGATGCGAAATCAGCGACCCCGAAAGCCTACACGTACTCAATTTCAGTCCGATGACGCGATTAGTTAAAAAAATTATCCGCCATACGGGATCCGCCATTTTGTTTGAACAAAACAGAACCCCGGATTCGTAATCAGCGACCTCGAAAACCTACAGATACCTCATTTTAGACCGATAAGGCAGTAAATTAAAAAAGTTTCCGCCATTTTGTTTTGTCAAAAAATAACTCAGGATTCTTATCAGGGACCCCGAAAACATGTTCAAAATTTGGTATATCGCAATACAGATTTTCATTACATGTTCATGTAATGACCACGATTTTGGAAGTTGATGACGGGTGGAGTGTGGCGGGTTTTCTCCATTCAGCGGCCGTTACACGAGTGAGCGCGGCTTGCGAGCCTTCTTTCAAATACTCGTTTTGGATTCCTTTTTACCATTTTCAAGCAATTTTCTGTCCAAATCTCGCCTGCTGGTGGTCATGCGCCGAGAGCAAAGCTTTCGCTGAATTCATTGCGTTCATCTCTCCACGAATCCCTGCAAGATAAGCGAGTTGCAACAACTGCCATTGTGCTATTTGCGGACTGATTTCCGTAAACACGACGTCGATTTCCGGTATCTCGATGTAACTGTCCGTGCGCTTTCCGAAACAAACTTGACGAATCTCAAACTGCTCCCAATGAACTGGACAGATGCTTCTGCGTTTTCTAAATTCTTCCTAAATGACACGCACCCGCAGTGAACTATCTTCACGAAAGTAACAGACCGGCACAAACATTCAAAAGCAAACCCCGCGGCGAAAAGACATAACCGACTGTGTGTGTCCGCTCAAACCAAACTCCACTCGAATCCGATCTTAGTCGCATATCAGCCAAATCTCTCATGACCTCACTACAGTTCGCCAAGACCTTCAACTACTCTCAAAAAAGCTATTGTTGGTCCCTTTCATTGATAATGCAAACTGTGCATGAGCGTAAATTGAAATTTGAACACACGAGATCGGATACGAGGAAAGAGTCAACCGGAGCGCCAGAGCGCGACGGACAATACCTTCTCAAAGTAATTCGTAATAATGCATTACCGACTAATCATCTGGAACCAGTGCCGTCTTCGACCAGAATCGGGCCTGTTATAAATCTGTCGTCGCCGCTACCTGCTCCATTGTGGGGAACAATGCAGAGGGAAGCTGTGGCGTCAGATTTACAGCATGGTAATGAGCCTGCTTGCAAGCTGCGCTCGCTGGTTTACGGTCACCTTTTGGGGCGGACGCTTCCGGACTTAGCGCGAAAGTTCTGCGGAGGGAGGCTGCGGCTTTTGATATATTTCAACGGGGGAATGAAATCACAGAGGAAAATATTCACAAACCCTCTCCTCCGTCATAGGCCTTTTTCAACCTAATGATACATCAGGACGTTTGAATATTTTCGCTTTTTAAAAATACTGTTTAAGAAGATTGTCATGATTGATTAAATGCCACGTTTAACAAGATTGACAGTGTTTCCAAATTATTTAATTAATGACACTTGGCGACGCATTTTGAATATATCATAGATAAAGAATGTAGATACGAATTGTATAATGCATGTGTGTAGGCACATCGAAGACGTGTAAACATAATGTAAACAGGGGCTACAGTTTTAGGAACAACACGCACCTCAGAAAATAAACTTTTATACACGTTAAACGTGAGATATATCGTAAATCGGAAGTCTCCCTCTGAAGTTACTCCATTAAAATGTAATTATTATGCAACCTAGGAAACTGTGGAATTTTGTTGAAGATTAGTGAACGTCTTTCTAAAATTATTTAATTTGTTGGAAGAGAAACTAGTAGTCGACGCAATGTGAAGATGTACAATTAAAGCATCTACCGATCATAGCGTGCAAGCGGGCAACTGCAGGTTTCAAAGTTATATCAAATTATAATTTTTGTAGCTACAATGAATCGGTATCTGGGATACTGAAAACAATTATTTGCAGATGAAGGTTACATGAAATTTTCGGGTGCCTACTAGATTTTTGACACCTGAAGCATATCTCCCTAGAAACATCTATATAATTTGCGTTAGAAGCACTGCACAGATGTGTGTAAGGTTGATGCTTAACTAGTGTTTGTTGAAGGATCTGCTTCAGAACATCATTTCTCGTTGTTCAAAAAACGAAAAATATTTGCTTTTAATATGCCATTCTATTTTATTTCCTTTTGAATATTTAAAATACTGGCTGTAACACGCTTTTTAATTATTTTTTGTTACATAATATTTTTACCCTTAGAAGATAGTAGATCATTTCCGCTCTGAGCGTGTTTTCTTATCAGATTATTGATTGGGAAATGAAATTTTCCTTGATGAGTCATATTTTATTTTATAAGATAGCCAAAAAACATTGTTTACTTTGATATTACGGAAGATCTTCTGTTAACTGAAATAAGAGCTGACAGGAGTCTTTTAGGATATCCAAAATTCCCGTTGCGAAAGAAGGAAGAGTCAATTTTTTTAGACGAATGTGAAATAAAAAACATTTTTCAGCTTACGTACTGCACTTTTTCACTTTAAATGTATGTGTACATGTCACACTATTTTTACAATTGAAGATCTACAGTCTTTGGGGAAAAACTGTTTAATCGTTTTCTGCTTCGTAGTTGTTAAAAAACTGTTTCTTCTTGTCACACCATTTTCTAGCAGCGATATCTCGCCTTCGCTTCATCAAAAAAACGTCAGCAGGCCTAGCTTCTTCCACAATCGTAAATGCAATCGCAGACATTGAAAATATAATGTAATGACTAAATTGAATAGATAACACGAAAAGTTTATTATCGTAACACAAAAAATAAGCATAATAAACACACAAGTATCAACTCAATATCTCGTCAGCGGTGTCATGGCTGTGTCCCCGTCGTCCGCTGTGTTGTTATTTTGACCGTTCGGGAAAGCCATGCCAACAGTTCAGACAAACCGAGTAAGAAGAGCTTTGGGAGGGCAGACAGGGATGACATATCATGCTGATTCTATTTTCTTTTTTTCTTTCTTTTTTTTATTCAATCATTTCGTTTAAAAGGATTTCGGGTAAGAGATGTTCTACCGTATATATTTGTACAGAATTTAACGAAGCAGGGGTAACTTTTATGTTGTTACTAAATTCCATTACCATTTAGCTTTTCGTGTGCAATCAATAGCGATCTGGAGAAAAAGTGGCTACGAAACACGCAATGACGCGTCAGAAGCGCTGCTCATAGGGAGCGGGCTTTGTTCGCGTTGTTTGTGTAACCTCTTATGGAGGGTTCCGGAGGAGATTATTGGCGTCTGTTTGTACGTGGTAATTCTAATATATGCTCCGGCAATTTAGCCTTCTATCGAAAAATCATTTCCGTGTGAAATATGGGAAACGAAAGCTTTCAAATCCTAATTAATTACTTACGAAATGTTTTCTCGGCTAATATTGGTTACCCCAGAAACAAATGATCTTTTCTCATTTTGATCTTTTATGTTTGAATACTTACGGGAAAACTCTCTCATTGCCTTTTTTCATTTTCGATTGATTTTTTAATACATTTTAATAATGTAAAATTGTGTGTATTGTCAAAATTTTTTTGAACTTCAAAGTAACATCAGAACATAAACTGTATAGTATTTGATATTATATTGCAGCCCATCTTTAAATTACGTATTTTACAAACTTATAAGTAATAGTTATGAGTAGTATTTTAACACGTTATGTTAGTGATAAAAGATTTTCAATTAAAGTTTTAATACAAAAGACCGATCGTGGCCCTCAAACGGATAGTTTCTCACTAGTGTGAGCACACGATTTGTGGTGTGCACGACGTTCATTAATCATGTTAATTCGACCAATCATATTATAATTACTTTAATCGTACCGAAGAAATTGCTCCGGCAATGAAGACGTAAACGAAAAGAAACAGCCTCAATATTCGCGAGAACGAATATGGCTTTGTTTTTGTAAAGTATACTCTTTATCTCTCACAGTTAATAGCCAAAACTAAGGATTAGACAAAATATTTCACATATATTCTTAGATAATTATTGCATTCGTAAGGAAAGAAGATCGTGAAAGTGTTTTAGATTTTAATTTCAATTTATAATTGTTTTGAAAGGAGTAACACCTACAATTTGCTATCGTGCTATTTACTTTCACATTATTCCCTTCCTTGTATGATTCAATTTTTCAATACAACACGGTTTTATCGTTCAGCAATCACAGCCACAAGCTACGCCAATCACATGCTGTGTTTATCGCTGCTGGACATATTATGCAATATACTATTATGCATGTGTTTTTATAAAACTCTCATTGAATGAAACATGAAGTTCTGTTGACAGTTGTACAGTTATTTTCATAATTCTTTCCTTCTGGCGTTTTAGCCTTTTTGAAATGCAAAAGATGTAACTGTAATTCATCATACTCAATCTCCCGCATCATATATACTATAAGCGTACTGATAAATTCTCACGAAGTATTTTCCTGTATGGCCAGTGCGGATGATATTTATTAATACTCTTTATTCGTAATCGGTTTCGAAGTTTTTAAGGTGATAGCAGGAAATCTTTCGGGATTTCATTTGTCAAACCACTCTATTTTATGTCGTTTCGGTGAACTTCGTGTGTCGAGATTCCATTTCAAACGGCTGAATAACGTATTGTGGGCCCAACGTTAAGTCAATAAACTTAATAAACAAAATTACGAAGACAAACGTAATGAGAATAATAACATGTAAATGCTCCTTTTTTATGTGATAAAGTACATTCTTAAAAGAGACAAGGATCGTTAATACTTATTTACCTGCACCTAAGCCTTAACACGGCGAACAATTTACCTATGGAGTCAGTTAGAGAAGCTTTTCTATTATACCTAGCTTTATACTTTGAAATATGGGATTATGTGTCTTGTGCAAGAGTAAAATAATACTATTTTTAATTGTATTAAGGCCATTATACGAATAATTCTTTTCGAGTTCTAGATGAATGATGGAAATTAAAACATGCATGAATTTCTGTTGTTGCTTTACCTTCAACATAAAAAAGGTAAAATCGTGTAGCTTCTATAATTTTCTTTTCTTTGGGGGCTACAGCATTGTTTTGTATAATCAAGCCAGTAATCTTATGCAACGGCTTAAGTATTTTCACGTTACTCTTTGTATTTTTAAATTTGTACAACTTTCGTTTTTCTGATTCTCTCCTCAAGATTTTAATGGAACTTGTTCCTCCACGAAGTGTCGCGAAGTATTGAAATGTAAATATTTTTTCTCAGACATGATCAACTAAAGTGCTATTTTTTAACTGTGCGTCTCATGGGCACTCAAGGCCCGTCTTCGTGATGTCACTGCATTTCGCGTCCTTTTCGGTCGTGCCACAAGATGTCGCGACCGTATCAAGCAGGGCTTGATAGTCGCGAACATGCGACATCAAGCGGCAGATCCGAAAATGACACGAAATGCAGTGGCATAATGCCATCGTAAAAACGGGTCTTGAGACGCACAGTTATAAAAATTGCACAATAGAAGATGGTCCTTAGACGAGGAAAGATACTGTAAACGTATCGTTAAACTCTGGATGGTTATTTTTGAGTATAAAAAGTTGCTGTTGTACGTTCCGTAAGTCTGAAAGCGTAGTTCAAATGTATTCTCGAAGGAATCTGAGAGCGTAAATGTTGTTAGTTGTCCACTTTGTGTTACCGAAATTGCTGCGAAATTGACCTACGTTATCTTTGTAACTCTTAGAATTACTTGTATCCTCAATATCATTTTCTGCATTCTTTAGCAGTGCATTTATCACTTCCCCAAAAATCCTTTTTCGATTTTACAGCAAGCTTTTTCATTAGTTTCCATCATTGTGTGTCTAAAATATGTGCTAAATATAGCGCATATTTTACCAACATTTTATCTTATTCTAGTGTTAGAATACATCTTGCCACAGATTTATTTTAAATTATATGTAAGTTGACGTGTAAGATATTTGAGTTCTTTGAGGAATATTCTCGATTCGTAAGCAAGTTATTTTTAACAAAGCGTGTTTACAGTTAGTTGTGATAGCGGTATTTTTGCAAACGGTTTATAACACAAGTTTCTTCGTCTTCGCGAGAAAGAATAAAAACAACAACCACCTTTTTAGAATCATACCTTCTTTATAACTGCTGCGTCTTGTAGTGAAGGAAAAGGCGGTCTACGTTCGTTAGACGAGAATTTCTTCAACGGGAAAACATTATTTTAAGTAAGTTTGAGTTCAGTTCAGTTCCAGCTTCCATAATTCCATATCATAAAAAAAGTACTCCGCAAGAAGCTCTATAAGAACAACGCACGCATAAGATATTGATTTACGATGTTGAAATCAGTATGAGATCGAGTAAATTGTTCATCTTCATGCACGATTTTATGAAGAAAAAGTAATTTTAATAGAATCGAAAGCCATGTTCATCATCCAAATATGGCACTTACACCAAATCATATCTGATACTTGAAAGTTATTTCGTTATTAACGAACGGTGTGGCGAATTGGACACCTTAGACGATATGGCAAAGAACCAAAAAGTTTTAACCATTTTTTGGAGACTTGTTTCATGCATAAGAATGATGTATTTATAGCGGTTTATGAGTTTTCATCTAAATTAATGGAATACCTTGGGTAGTTAGTTGACTTCGCTTGAAATTTTACATAAGATGAATGTAGCAATCGTCGGAAAAGGCGAGAATCAAAACTAGTAATGAAAAGTTAACTGTTTTAACCATCGTCATTACAAAAATTAAGGCAAATTATTCTAGTTCTCATTCCATGGAAATGAAACATTGATGTCGCAAAAATTAGGTTGTGCTACGTTTTTAGCGAATGTGTATGGGAGAAGGACATTTGAAAATTAAAGAATGGTACGGAAAGAGTACTTACAACACATTTGCCGATCTCAATGGCGTCAATTTGGATCTTTATCTTTTTGGAATTAGCTTAATTGAATTAGAATGACTGAATTTTAACATTCGTGTGGAGACTTCAATTACTGGTCACAATGGCTTTGATCTGGGCTGTCATCACAATGGCTTTGTTTAAAAATCGTTGTAGAAAATTGTATCTTGTAACACGATTCGAATACATTGAAAATGTCTCAAAAGATCATTTTGACTGAAGATTGATACTTGGCAGGTGAGTTTATTTGTTTTCTCCTCAAAACAAACTTGGTCATATATATATATATATAATTATAATATTATATATATACTATATATATTATATATATAAAGTGTATTTATAGCTATCGAAGGAGATCGAAAACGTTCGAGCAGGTTGTGGGCAAACAAATTTCTTGCCAATGATAATATTTTCCTTTTAAATGTACTGCGTTTTCTAGTTTTGAATTGTTTCATGAAAAATATTAATTTCATAAAATATTATCGGCACAATAATTTTGGGGTGTTTGGATTTTTCTGTAAAGTTTTCTCTGGTATGCAAAGGTGATTTTTTAAATACTTCTCGAACTGAATGACATTGTTAACTACATCAAATGGGCGGATGTGGTGATAGTTCCTCGTTTCGCTTTTAGAGACGTAACTTCCCCTTCAGCCTTAAACGTGACAATATAATCAGCACCTATAATCTACCTATTGTTTTGTATTGTATTTTTGTCACTAAATAAATAAGCATCCACACTTAAAACAAAACTGAATTTATGGCGTTATTTATCCTCGCAATCCCGAGCGACATTGAATAGGACTGCAACCCCTCCGCCGTTGTCCGCAGGTCCTCGGCGACAAGCACCACCACAACGGGCTGCTGAACGGCAGCGACGTCATCAACCGGCTGGCGGCGTCCAACTCGGACATCACCATCACGACGACGCACCAGAGCGCGGCGGCGGCGGCGGCGGCGGCAGCGGCGGCGGCGGGGGGCGGCGGCGCGGCGGCCCACAAGATGTCGCCGCACAGCGCGCACGCCGCCAGCAACGGCCGCGGCAGCCCGCCCGGCGCCGACTTCCTCGCCGACTCGCCTAGTGAGTAGCGCGCCGAACGCGAGCGCCGGGCTTGAGCGTTGCGTCTCTCCAAGGGCGCAACACGGAGTTTTCTATGTGTGTGTGTGCGCGAGCGCGTAGGGGGGTGTACAAGTTTAGCCGGCTGATGTTTTCGGGTCGTTGGTTGGTTGATTAGTGATTCCGGGCGCGTCAACTGCCAAGGTCATTCGTCCCGTAAGATAAGTGCATGTTTTATCCTGGGAGGTGGCGGTGATTTTCCCCCGCTGGATGGTGAGCTCCGGCGCCGACGTACCGACGCTTACAGGGATTTCCTCAACCAGGTGTATCCCACGCGCGGGGTACCGCCCAAGCTGGAACAAGCTCTAAGCTCCCGACCGATCTCCCGGCATGTGTTAGTGTAGCGAATGTAAGGGAAGTGTGTGAAAGTAAGGGGTTGGATAAGACAAGAAAGACGAACGAAAAAGCGCGCGCGGTTCGTGGCCGGTTGTTACGAAACTCGGAGAAACCACGGAAAAGTACCGATCAGAGCAGCCGGTCGGTAGAATTCTCCTCCGCGCAGCAACTGAATTCGACCTAGCTATGTAGCTATTGTCGAAAATCCTGCCACCGTCGGGACTCGAACCTATGCTTCGGTCAGAAGCGCTGCATTTTTGGGTCGAAACCCTTATTGTTCCAAATCGACTTCTACGTCACGACATTAGCGAATGAAAGCGAAGAACGAGGAGAATGGCGCATTTTAATTGAAAAGTATTTTGTTGGTCGCTTTTGAAATATTGTTGGAACGGAGTGTCATGATGAAGTGGTTATTCTCAATTTCTTGGGCACTAACAGGTCATTTAAAGGTTGGCATTGTCTCTATTTATTTCATTTTTGTTTTAAGCTTTTCTCTGTTCTTATATATTCGATAATTCTCCCATAGAACTCGAGTACCAAAGAACAGTTGGGGATCTGGTATCATACAGAAACATACACATAAATAACCCTAATAAAATATCTAGGGTTTCGACTTCTATTACTCATCAGATATTATTTTAGTTCATGGAGGAGAATTTGAATTATTGTTTAACCTATTTGTCAGAAGTCTACTTCTTACGTGTTGTTAGGATGTTGGTTACTGCAGTGTTGAATTCAAACTTTCGGGAAATTCTTGTCGTATTTGACCGAGTATTCTTCGTCAAACCTGTAACTAAAACGCACTAGAAGTTATAGTTTCCGATCATTACTCATAGTAAGCGTCTCCAATTAGTTTATGTCGACCGGAACTCTTAAGTTACTAGCTTATGGTATCTCCAGCGGGTATTTTGTGTTAAAAATATAATCGATCGATCGATTGATTGATTAGTAATTTTTTGAATGGACACGTAACATATAGGCTAGTTTCCCATCAGGAGACCTAGACGCGCCGAATGATACCTCATTTGTCTTGATTGCTGGCCCGAAAGTGGCCTAACCGTGAGTAACGGACGGACGCAGGTTCTTTGATTACTGTATAAGTATTTTAAAAACTTTAATCTCACTGTTTCTTCTCAACATTATATTTATTATCTTCAATCTGATGAAAACATGTGTAACCATTTATATTATGCCATAAATGCTATATAGAAATTCATAGCGTTTCACCGATGTAGGTGCCTTGAAAATCAATATAAATTCATTGTGCTTTGCACGACAAACTTCGGTTGCTTCGCTTAATGCTAGATCAATGCGATATTAATGTTTTTATAAAAAAATGATACTTTTAGCGGACAAACAAGATGCTTCCGTGATTCTTCGGGCCATTAAATGTCACGGTAGTTTAATATCTTGGAAACCAGTACTTGGCCATACATCCCGCGAATTTAAAAATAGAACGCATGAAAACAAAAATATTTTTTCTTCGTTCCACCTCAATAATCAGGACGTCACATACCAGGTCGTGTGGAACTGCAGTTTCCTTCCCTTGCTGTGCCGCATAAAAGCTCCGGTGGTGTCGGAATTGGACGCTCTTTCTGCACAACAGCAATCTATTCTATCAACTGACGCTGTATCTGACTATCTGTACCTATAAACTGACTTTTCTAAATTGAACAAAATAAAAAAAATCGCTTTTACCCATTTATAAAAAAAATCTTAACAAAACTTAAAAGTCTTTAAAAAACTAACAATTCTCTATCTTTTATTTATTATCTTATTCTCATTCTTTTTTATTGTTAAGGGTGTGGATGAAGAACACACTTTCTTAAGTCAACCACTATTTATTGACTGAATATCAAAATACTTTGTATAGCAATCGCACTACTGCCTTGGGTGGGGAAAGGGAGAGGAGACACGTATTGGTTCGATTTGCTCTTTCATTGGGCTTTCCGCCAGCCCACGATGCTTTCACAGTGCGAGATGAGGTTACTTCGAATCTCAACTTACGTCCAGGCCCTGGAGTTGGACATGATTTATGCGCATGTGGGTGCACAGAATGCACCCAGTGTAGAATGAAAAAGCCGGCAAAAATTGGTAGTCCACAGGAGGAACTCTTCTCCTCAGGCCGTAGAAGTGCATTATAAAACGTTTCGTCTTTTCGTTGCGATAGCGCCATATGGACGATTACTGCAAAGAGAAGACAACGTTGAATATTCCTCCTTAAAGCGATTTTGAGATTTCGTGTCGCTTAAGAAGCGCGAGTAGTTTAAATTCTATGAAAGTTAATTTCCTGATAACTACTAAAAACTACACTGAACTAAACACATTGAACTCCCCTCTAGTAAACGTAGATTGGAATAGTAATAGTTTAACGTCTGTAAGTGCCGTAGGTCTCAAAACGCTTTTTAAGGGCTTAAAATCCTAAAAATCACGATTTTTTCGAAAAATCTCTGATATTGTTCTGGAACGATCCAAAAAATGGTTATTTCCTCACCAGAAGTCCTAGACAGGTAAAGTGACTCCTTTACGAGTATAAAAGAAGAAGAAATTTTCATACGGATATCCACCGTGAGTTAGTTTGTAAATGTATCTGATTCGTTTTTTTGTTATTTGATCGGCAACTGTATTGTATTTTTTCTCCTCGAGATTCACTCGGAAACATGTTTCTACAGGAATGTTGCAGTGGCATGTCAAAGGGTGAATTGGGAATGTGGCTTGTTAGGAAACTACTGCTCTGCATAAGTTATAGAGCTGGAAGAGCAGAGGGCTGTGTGACCGCTCTGAGGAAGAGGAGAGAGTTATGTACTCGCACCGACGTTCCATAGATTAAGTTATCTGATACAACTTGCTCCGTATTGCAATTGATGAAAGGAGGACGTACTCATGGCACTTTGTCGAAGTTCGCCGTGCGTAAACTGAGTCATTCAAACTGTCGCCAGCCTTTATCACAACATATTATCTTCGCGGTGTTTCAGTATTTCAAATAAGTTAATGTGCTTATAGTTAATGATATTTTTTAGTGCTTTAATTTGGCCTTATCTCAACCAAAATATTAATGTTAATGAATCGTAAGTTCTTACAATGCAGTTAGTGATGATCTATTCTGCATTATACTATATTATAATCCTCTCATAATTTAAATTCTACATTTGAATATGTGCCTTCAGCACACTCACAAACTCCATTGCATAATTACTACAATTTTGAAAGTGGTAGGCTTTATTGATGGCGAGACTCAGGCCATTGGGCATTATTTATTTTTTTAATTATTTTTTAGTATTATTTATTATATAGGAATTACAGAAATTGAATTTATTGAATTTTGAAGAAGTTTATTATTTTGATAACTATTGAATTTGTTCAAAGATTTGGCCACCTCGGCCTGTATTCGAACGTGCGACTCCTGGTTTACGCCCATTGCTCTAACCACTAAGCTATCGACCAAAAAAGAATGGTGATTATGTATATATATTATATATACTCCTTATTTATTATTATTATTTGCCAAGGTGTTATTGCCTAAATAGCTTATTGCTTTTATTGCGTGAATGAGACGTACATGCTGCCACTTCTTGCTTGATATGTGAAAAATCTAATATCATGTTCATTGACTTTTGGGATAAATCTACAGTAAGTTTTCCTGCAAAAGAGCTTCTGTTTAAAATTTAAAAATGCAAATTTTAAGAATGTAAGATATGTCTGTTATTGAAAGTGAGGTTTATTTTTGTGACGCACCCCTTGTAATTGTGTTCAAGATTTCTACATTCATTTTTATCTCATATGTATAAAAAAGTTAGAGAACTTCTGTAGGTGCAAGTATAGCATGCATTCTCAACTCCTGATCGTTTTAACGTGGTAGTATACAGCAAAAGGTAAATATTCGATTTCTGAAAATATGGTTGAGTCAACTGAATCGATATTTAATTTTTGTTGCTGTTGTTGGATAAACGTGCATATTGAAGTGGATGAAGTTGTAACATTACCACCCAAATGAAATGAATTGGATGAAAGTGTGCTTTCTGGCAGAATTACAAATGTACGTTAAATGCAAACTTTATTCCGTCAAGGTGCTTGTATTTCTGGATGCACATTACAAAAATCCGCTGCAAAGTGTTCTTTGGCAGAAGCTCAAATTTTATTACCAGGAGGGAGACGTATGAATTAATATAACTGAAGAAAGAATATTGATATGATACACCAGATCTCTTTCATCTTTTCCAAACTGGCGTAGTAAAAGAGAAAATTGGGATTTTCTTAAGCAAAAAGTGGCCCTAGCAAACCGCATCAAGTTTACATAAATTAGATCTCTTATGTACAAAACATTTTCTTCGCGAATGTCCGAACAGTCGATTCCCTTTTGCTTATGATTTTAACTTTTCGTTACTTTTGCAAGCATGTATGATTCTCTGAAATTGGCTTCTCTTTCTAAAATAGGCATTTCTGATGGTTTCCAAAATAGCTGCTCCCATTGGCATTACACATTCAAACACTTCAATTGACGAAATGTGTTCCCATGAATATAATAATTTAGGTCAGGCAAAACAACACACGCCGAAAGATTTTCATTACTACCTTTTAAATTTTTTCACTTTGTTATTAATAACAAATGAACTTTTGGACTCATACAT